TATTTGAGAGATTACAGTATATTTCTCCTTTTCTCTCAGTATCTGTAAAATGCCAATCACAGTCTTCTATTACATCATGAATCTCATTTATTTACCAAATACACTTCGACAGAGAACAGAGCTAGAATCTTTCTGGCTCAAACTTGAAACACATAATATGACCATGTTAAGATTACAGGGTCGAAAGCATATATTTGGTACTTGCTAAAGAATACAACATTTCATACCCCAAGTGAAGCATTTTATTTCTCATATGATCGCTTTTGGTGCATGGCTATTGGAGTTTCATCTACCAGTCTGAGTTTAGAAATTGTTGGCTAAGTCCTTGTCCCCAATAATAGAGATGGACCACAAGGGGCATGTGCAATTTATGTTCTGAATTTCTGATTGACTGTTGTATCAACAGTGTAAGTGGGGATGGTAAGTTGTTTCCAATGAAAACAAATGAAGAGTATTCCCTTCCTCATACGTTTATTGCCCTGAAAAAAAAACCAATAAAATGTCAACACATATATTATATGGAAATTTTCCTTATATGTTTATTGATGTTCTGAAAAAACTAGGTATTGTAACCTTTCAGAAAAAAAACAAGGTATTGTTGTGTTAGTCTTGTCTTTGGAGTCTGCATATATAACTATGGTTTATTTGCTCAAGAAAATGCCATATTGAGATAAAAAGCGCTAGGCTAGCCACTAGCCACTAGGTGGTGATTAGACGCTAGGTCAGAGGATGGCATCTATGCATCTTTATTGTAACAGTCTTTCTAACAAAACGAGACACCTGTCTCCATTGAAGGATGAACAGTTCACATGATCTTCTTTCACTATTGTCAAGACTTGATTACCATCAAGTATTTTCTGGGTGAACTACAAATGGTAGTCTTTAGTTATGAAACTTGCACGAAATATGTAAGAACCATGACTGTTCTATTGCATATTGAAAGATCTTTCATACAATGTATTTCGTATTTTTTCCACAAACCATGACTTCTAGCCCCGATAACACATGTGCGAGTATTCTTTATTTTTTAGCTAACACATGCATAAAGTAGTTCAAATGTTTCAAAATGGCTAGTTTTCTTGAACTAGATAGGTCCTTTGTCATTTCCAAAATTAAGAAACAAGGACAACTGTTTTGTGTTCTTCTCTCTGACAAGAAAAGCATTTAAATAATCCAAAAGCAAAAGGATTGGACTGTTGCACAGTATTACTTGCTGCACCTAAGAGCATCTTCAACAGATTACTTATTTCATCCTCAATACCAAAAAAAAAAAAATGCAATACAAGGAATTGTGGTTGCACCAACAAATTACTCATCCTATCCCCAATACCTAAATGTTAAGTGATTACTCAAAAGTCAAAATCCACCCCCTCTCCCTCAAATGTAGGAGATCCACCCCCTCTCCCATATCCACTTAAAAAGATATTGGTAATATGTTGGAGAAGAAGAAAAGGCTACACTACCATTAATAGGAGATCATCTATGTAGACTTTTAGGAGATGAAGGATAGGTAATCTGTTGGAGATGCTCTAACAGTTATTATTAGTTAGTATTATAGTTGTGTTAATATTTTCCTAAGTTATTTTTTGGGTAGGAATGTATACAAGCGGAATGTTTAATAACGTATTTTTTTTGGAAATTTAATAATATATTTTTAGAGTCCTACTATCTATGGGGTTTGCATTAATAAAATATAGTCAATATTCATATATGATCCTCACTTTTTCTTATTTTTCTGATATGAGGGTGTCCTTGTCAAAACTCAACACTATAATTTTTAATTTATAGAAGAACTATTTTTACTGTTGTTGTTTTCTGCTCTGTAGTGTTCTATTTACTGCACCTATTAAGATATTTAATAGAGAAATTAAATAAAGGACACTGCTACTCAGGTATTAGTTATGCTATCATGAATAGGTTGAATTAATCTTGTTGGTATCACTTATAATAGCAGAACCTTTATATCTTATATATGTTTTTCTTTAATGATGCCATTGAGATTCTAAAGTATGCTAAGTTGCTAAGCCCTAGGTATCGTTGAATTTGGTTGCCCCATCTTATTTCTGGAAAGCTTTGAAGTGGAGACTTTATGATAAAAGCTAAGCACTTTGAATAATTAAATTATCCTACATATAGGCTTGTCTACCTCGAGTTCTGGCATATATCACCAAAATAAGGCCTACTGGTAGACCTACTAATGATATTTTTTTATTTCTTTCTCCTTTTTTGATCTTAAGTATAACTGTATCTGCTTCAGCAGAAGCAAAATATTTAGCTGGCCTACAAGGCTTCTAAATTTGAATAGCCTTTATGAGTTATTGACAAAATAACAACCTTAGCTTTTAGTGGTTGCTGGCTCTGTGCAAAATAAGAAAAATAGGATTTACCTAAATTAATTGAACAAGCTCATAGTATGTTAATCTTGAATGGCTCTGTATTCTTTGCTTCCAAGTTTCTTATGGCAATCAGATTCAATCTTGCCAATAAAGTTGGCCATTATGCATTGTAATGTCTAGTGTTTTTGCCTTCCTACAACTGTCCTGTGTTTCCATTTTGTAGCCTTAATTTACTTGCTAGAATCTCTGCCTGAAGGTCTTGTGGTTTACTACACTCTGGACTCCTGAAATTTATATACATAATTGATACTATATAAAGCTACATGGAATTGTACCCCCATCGTTATCCTTGATATTGATCCTGACTAGTGAAATGAAGCTTGAATTTGACTATGCATGCTGATAGAAAAATCATAGAGTCAAGTCACCGGTGTCTGTTTGACCTGCTATTGCATGCACCTCAAGATAGGGGGTTCTTGTGCTCAATTTTTATTCAGCGGTGAAATTAAGCTTGAGTTTGACATGCTAACAGAATCTTCTTGGGAGAGTTGGTCAAGTGAGCAATATAATAATGGGCTATTTGACCTGCTAAAGGCTTCGCTGCTCTTCTCTAAAATGAACTGGAATGAAAAAAAAAAGTGCTCTACTAATTAATTCTGACTGTCTGACCATAGTGTCCGTTTTCAAATAGAAGTCATATACATGAAGTGTCATAGCTCAGTCTATCCTGTTTGTCAGCCTTGCAAACTATTTTGAGTGGCAGGAAAGTCATTTTAATCATGTATTGTTTGTTGATAATAATAATTGAACTGGTTTGGCCAGTTCATCGCATGAACTGAAGCAATGAACATAAGGCGTGCTTTTCCTTTTTTATCTGACCGGAATCATCATTGTTGACATTTTACAGGATGTGAAAGCATCAAATAATTGCAACCTGCCCCTGCAAGCACCATTCATTGCTTGAAGCTGCCATAATTGCGTTGGGGATGATTCCCCGAATTCTTGGAAGCAGATCATCCTTCAGACATCTACTCTGGTCATCACTGAAGAACCTCATCGTCCTTACTCTGACAACCTTCTGCACTTCTTTTTCCGCTGCTACAGTATTCATTTCCTGGAGATGAGATTTTCGGAGCATGATTTGCCAGAGTGACCTGTCAGAAAGCCATTGTAATCATTCCCATTCTAAACTTCCCCAATGGATGGATTCGATTCGGCACCCTTGATCAGCTCTTTCGAGTTTCAGGGATCAGTTATCCCTGCCATTTTTATGGTTCTCGGTTGTGTGTTGTACGAGAAGTGAGAAGACTCCAGTGCATGAAATGAAGTCATATGTGGGCGTGTTTGTGCCCCTGTTGTGTGTGCTGAATACTGGCATAATGGGAGTCTCAGATGTAAATTTATTTTCTTGTTTTGGCAGTGATTATTTCATATTGCTCCCTGATTTGTGAAAAGCTAGCAACTTGTGGTCGATACATGCTGCTTATATGCTGCAGAATGAACGTGCTCAACTGATTGCATGTACCAGCAGCCCAGGAGTGCAGAGTACAGTCTCTGCCTTAGTGCCTTGCAATTGCAATTCATCAAAATTTGAGCTGCATGTGAGGAACTGATGGAGGTTCAGAATTAATCAGTTATTTCACGCCAGAATTTGACAGATGTAAGTTTAGACGTGTCTTCGACAAGACCCAAAGCTATTTGAAAGCCGTGGAATTTTCAGTGAACAGTATCTTGTTAGGTGTGGTTTGCTGTAGGCTGTGGCAGTCAGATAAAGCAGCTGGTGCGTTCTACCCAGCCTTTAGAGGCGTGGCAGCACGGGTCACTGGATCGGCGCGCTTTTATCAAAGAGCTTGCAGGAGTACCTAATTCTGTGTGCCTTTGATGATATGCTTGCAGGTTGCAGGACAGCAAGTCAAACCCAACAGGAGATGTGAAAGGTGGTCAAGGCATCTACCGTTTGGAACTGGAGTAGGCTGAAGCTGCAGGCTTGTCCGAACACGGTAATTCACTTTTTATCATGTTACTATTACAGTTAGTAACAAGTCAAAAAGAAACAAAAAATAATCCAGAGTTTAATCTGTCATTATTTATAGTACCCGCACTATGGTCTATGTACTATGTACAATGTTAAAGCTAGAGATAGTTGAATCGTGTATCAGCCTAGCCGAGTGTTTCAGAAAAGGAACACTCAAAGGTGTCTGCCTCCATTGAAAGAGCACTAGCTGAGGTAGGAGTGAATAACTTCCAGATGCTTCTAGCCTTCAACTGGTGGTTAGTCTTGGTCAGAAAGACGGATCTCTTTTCCATTTGGAGTCAGGTTATAGCCAACAACTTCTTGGAACTCAAGATTTCAGACTAGTAATGGTCTTCAGCTACGAACAAAGTTAATCTATGGATGCGCCCTTGATGCATGCCTAGTAAAATAGATTGATGATACTGGCCTGCCAAACATGGAAAACAATTAACTGGGGAGGAAGGTTTTTGTAAGGTAGTAAGGAACAAACAACATTATTTTCTTATGATTACTGTCTTAAGACTGGGCAATAGTTATACTAACAGTTCATTTATTTCCTGAACAATGTAGAAGCTATCAGATGTCTAACTTCAGATGTCACTTGATCTCAGCACTCCTAAACAAAAGAAAACTGCTACTTTACCTCACCTCTAAATCTTTGGGGATGAATCATATTCTATAGCTGCCTCGGATGCTGGTGACGAGAATGAGTCATAGGAGGACGCTCTAGCATCGATGAGCATGGAAATGACTTCTCTCATGCTAGGCCTATCAAATGGCGACTGATTGGTGCAGAACAATGCAATTTTTAGCACCAGAGACATTTCTTCCACGACTCTCCTTGAGCTCAGGTCCAGTCTGTTGTCAAACACTTCTGTATTTGGCATCATTTTGTTCATCATCCGCCTCACCAAATTCACAAGATCTCCTCCTTTCTCAAGAGGCTGAATTGGGGATTGCCCAGTCAGTAGTTCCAACAGAACTACCCCGAAACTATAAACATCACACTTCTCAGTGACCTTCATGGTAAAGGCGTACTCTGCACAGGATAAAACACACACCATTAGTAGCCATATACATTGCTTATTAAACTGAGCTTGCTAGTTTATTGGTGGAAAGAACAGATTAGTAAACTATGATATGTGTACTCCATATGCTGTAACTTCAAGGTAATGCGGAATCTATACAGAACTCCTAACACAGTGGTTTAGTAACAGATCTGACCTGGAGCAATGTAGCCATATGAACCAGCAACAGCAGACATTGATCCAGAGTTGGAAATGTCAATAAGTTTGGCTAAACCAAAGTCCCCTACATGAGCCTCCATCATCTCATCAAGCAATATGTTGTTTGATTTGATATCACGGTGAATGACCTGTGGTTTGCAGTCACTGTGAAGATATCGCAAGCCTTCAGCAGCACCCAGAGCAATCCGGTAACGCGTGTCCCAGTCCAGTAGATATGCATCCTTGCTGCCATGAAGCAATTCTCCCAGGCTACCATTTGCCATGTACTCATACAGGATAAGATTTGAGTCCTGATGGGAGCAGAAGCCATACAACTTGACAATGTTGCGGTGCCTGACATTTCCAAGTGTAGTTATCTCAGCTCTGAAACTTCTGTCAATGTTCGAACCTTCTCCTTGAGCCTTCAGCTTCTTGACTGCGATTTTCCGGCCATCAGGCATCACAGCCTTGTAAACTGTGCCACAAGCACCTCTTCCAATCACAGCACTCTCTGAAAAGTCCTCGGTTGCTTTCATAAGCTCCTGATAGGTCACCCGTTCCTTCAGGCAGTAGTGGGGACCAGAAAACCCTGTCTTGCGCTCTTCACTTGATACAAGCTCTGGTATCTTGGCTCTTAAGGCCCAGCAAACGACTGCAATCAGCACCAATGAAACCAAAGCAATGACAATGGAAGCAATGCTGATGATCTTCTCCCTGAGAAAGCGCTTCTTCTGCGCTGCTGCGTCCTTGCTTGAGTAAGACGATGCTGAACCTGGACATGCTTTCCCTTTGATACCACAAAGGCCATTGTTCCCAAGGAAGTTGCTGCTGTCCAAGTGCTCGAACAGAGGGGTGCTGGGAAGCGGACCAACGAGATTGTTGTAAGACAGGTTGCACTCCAACAGGCTCGAAAGGTCACTGAATGAGGAAGGAACTTGACCTTCAAGCTCATTGTTGTCCAAGTACAGGTACTGCAGCATGTGCAAATTCCCTAGCTGCATCGGTATCTCGCCAGACAGCATGTTGTGACTGACATTTAGGGCAATCTGAAGGGCAGTGAGCTCACCAAGCTCAACCGGGACCTGACCAGACAGACGGTTGCCTCCCATCTCCAGTTCTATGAGCATTGAAAGGCCCCCAAAACTGCTTGGAATGGTTCCATTCAGACTGTTGTCAGACAACTTGAGCAGCTCCAGGTTTCCCAGCCCACCAATCTCTGTAGGAATCACTCCAGTGAGTGAGTTTCTACTAAGGTCAAGCCTTTGAAGCTTTTTACACTTGGCTAGCTCCGAGGGGATTGGTCCCGTGAGCTGGTTCGACGAAATGTTGAAGGCAACAAGCTCCGTCAGGTTGCCAATGGCATCAGGAATCTGTCCGACAAAGAAGTTGCTGGACAGAATTAACCGCTCAATGCTCCTGAACTTGCCGATCTCAGGCAGTATCGGCCCAGAGAACCGGTTCTGGTTCATTTCAAGCGATGTTAAGTTCTGTAGCAGCGACAGTTCGACGGGGAGGCTCCCGGTCAGCATATTTCCCCCCAACCAGAGCTGTGTCAGAGTCCTGCAAGTCTTCACACCTTGAGGGATGTTGCCGATGAGGTGGTTCGATCCGAGGCTCAAGAACATGAGCTTCTGGTACTTGCAGAGGTGAGGAGGGATGCTCCCGGTCAGCTGGTTGTCTGACAAGTCGAGCACTGAGAGGTTGCTGTTGGCTCCCAACAATGGAGGGATGACACCATGGAGTTGGTTGTCAAAGAGTTCCAAGTACTCCAAGGCACTCAGGTTCTGAAACACCGTCGGAATTGTGCCGGTGAGGTTGTTGATAGACAGGTCGATCCTTCTTATGCTGCTCAGCTGGCCGAGCTCCGGTGGGATGGTACCTTGCAGACGGTTCTCGAAGAGGTAGAGTAGCCGGAGCGTTGATATCCGGCCGAGCTCGGCGGGGATGACACCAGTGAGCTTGTTCTCCGAGAGGTCAATCTCCAGGACACTCTGCAGGTTTCCCAGCTCCGGCGGGATGGTGCCATCGAGCTGGTTCCGGTAAATGTAGAGCTTCAAGAGCGACGGCAGCGCCGCGAGCTCCCTGGGCACGCCGCCGGTGAAGGCGTTGTCGTTGAGGGCGAGCTTCTGGAGGTTGGTGCACTCGCCGAGCTCCGGCGGCACCTCGCCAGAGAGGTAGTTCTGCCAGAGGATCAATGTGGTGAGGTTCTTGAGGCGGGAGAGCTCCCTAGGAAGCTCCCCGGCGAGGTTGTTCTGCGCGAGGCCGAGCACCTCGAGGCTGGCGCACTCGGTGAGGTCGACGGGGATGGGGCCGGAGAGCTGGTTGAGCCCGGCGCGGATGACGCGCAACCGCTGGAGCGCGGAGACGGAGACGGGGATCCTCCCGGTGAGGTTGTTGCTGTAGATTTCGAGCTCCTCGAGCGCGGTGAGGTTGCCGATGGCGGGCGGGATGTTGCTGTACAGCAGGTTCTCGCTGAGGAAGAGGCGGCGGAGCGCGGGGAGCGCGCAGAGGTCCGGCGGGAGGGCGCCGTGGAGCGCGTTGGTGCTGAGGTCGAGGACCTCGAGCGCGGCGCAGGCGGCGAGGCCCAGCGGGATGGGCCCCCTGAGCGCGTTCTTGGAGACGTTGAGCACGACCAGGCGCGGGAGCGCGCAGACGGCGGCGGAGAGGCCGCCCTGGAGGTTGAGGCCGTGGAGCGTGATGCCCGTCACCTCGCCGGCCGCGGAGCAGGCAATGCCGGCCCACCCGCACGGGTCCACGCCCGCGCTCGCGTCCGCGCCGCCCCAGGTCGAGAGGCGGCCGTCCACGTCCTGCAGCGCGCCCTTGAACTCCAGCAGCGCCGCCGCGGCACCGTCCACGTCCGCCGCCATCGCCGCCGAGTTGAGATTGAGAACAACCAAGAAGAGGACCGCCGCCGGGAGCAAATACCGCGGCACGCCCGCCGCCATTGCCGCCGCCGCCGCGCGCTTCCTAATCCTGAGCAAGAAGCGGAACCCACGCCAGCAGCCGGAGCGAGAGGCGCAGAACTATGACAGCGGCGAGGAGCAGGGTGCCATGGACAGACAGGACAGAGGTAGCGGCAGCCGAGGAAGCCGTCGTCTCGTCCGTCCCCTCCCCCCACCACCGAGTACCAGTAGCCACTAGGAGGACGGACAGCGCGGCATGCGCGGGCGGGGCGAGGTGGGTGACACTGGTCGCGCAACAGGGCGGCGTGGTGGTGGTGGCCGCGAGTGAGTGGCACTGTGGGAGGCGGCAGGGAGAAGGGATGAAGGAGCTTTATGGGGGCGAGCACTGTGGAGGACAGGACAGGCGCGCGCCCGCGCCGGGGGTCAACAGCGCGGGCGACGGGCACCATTAACTGGAAGCGCTGGCATTTCGTCGAGCAGGGGCTGGCGGACGGGGGTGGTGGACGCCTGGACGGGCCCACGGTCAGAGACACGGGTGGCGGGACTCGGCCGTACGGGCCGACGCGTAGAGAGGGAGAGCCGTGGAGGTGTACGGCGGGCGCGTACGTGTGTGTTCGTGTGGGTTACGACTGCTCGTCGCCGAAAGCCAGCTTTTGCGATCCGTGATCGAGTCGAGGTAGGAAAAAAGCGGCCTCGCGACAGCGCTTTTTGGTTGTTTTTTTGTTCTTGAATTCAACAAGCTCATCTCTATGGCGAGTGAAAATATTGGAACACCCTTTTTCTTTCGCAAATAGAAAAAACTTCTGTGATGTTCAAGTTTTGGACACAAGGTCACAGTCCTTTAGTGATGATTGGATTTTACTCTCAAACCATAGATGATATATGTATGCATCTTATTAACTTCTTTACCGGTGACTGTGATGGTCGGTGATAGCTCAAGTAGAATCAAAACAGTGTAATAAGGTTGTGACGTGGGGGTGCATTTCAAGTGAAAATGAGTTAGTTTTTGTATTTGGAAAAATAGATTCAAATTCACTTAAAAGTATACTTTCAATTTTCAAAAAAGTTCGTTAAATTTTCTAAATGCACATCGCAAATTAGTCATTTTGTCATATGGTGCGTATATAGCCTCAAATTTTCATTCCGTGCAATTTTTTTAAAATGAGTTTTGGTCTCAACTTTCGCGACAAAATACACATCGATCTATGACTGAACTACGGATGCCACGTTACAAATTGTTTCTAAACTTCAAAGTGTGCTTATTGAGTGAATTTGCACCATTTCTCAAATTTTGGTGCACTTTCACCTGATGAGATGGGTGTGAGGGGAGGAATGGGTGGTTGGAGTGGGAATGAAACTGGTGGCAAGGCCATGGCACATGAAAAGGGTTAGATGATCTATGCAGCCGGTTGGTTGGAGATGAACTAGGGGCTGTACGTACGGATGAGAGGTGGTTGAGATTTCATAAGGTAGAAGGTAGATATAATTACTTATTATATTATAACTTCGATCTGTTCTCAAAAACCAAACTAAACCTTGTCTCAGATTACTAGAAATTTAATTAGGAAAAGTGGGAGTGATCTCCATAATTTATCATGCATGTGTGAAACAAAACCACCGATCACTTAAACGATTATTTAGCCGGTTTACATATCATTTAGATGTTACATGGTGGTACGTTGTTTTTGTTTATTCGGTTGTTTATCTTGTTAAAACAGCCGTGTGCAGGCCAAATAATGACTGAACAACAAGTGACCTATTGATTACCATTTAGCATTTATGATAACAACGAATAAAATCATACTTCCTCTATCATGGTATATAGAGTAAGCAAGCGTTCAAATTTATCCTAAATCATAAGGGGAATTCTAGGTGAACTAACCCTCCAACTCAACTTAAAAAGGCAACATTTACATGCATACCTACCATTAATTCTGTTATTAACACAACATGATAACCAAAAAGGGTTACATGCGTCGTTTAGTTGACCACATAATATGTCCTAAAATTCCTAGGATACCTTATATTCCAGGATAGAGGGAATAGTAAACAAAAAACAATAGTACATATGTACTCCTAGCATGTAGCAAGAAATTTATATACATGATCACATAGGAAAAGAATAATATAAACCACAAGCTTAAACCTCTGGCCTTTGAACCCAATGATTTGGGTCAAATTTCCGGTACATCTGTGCTTATTGATTGTTCACTTGTCCTATTGAAAACTACTGGATAACAGAAGTTGGCCGCAGAGATGGGGTCATTATAGATTTATATGTATATTTCGTCATCAATCAGAGCCATATTTTGAGGTCGAGAAAATAGTATATATGTTCCATAATTTAAAGTGCAACCTGTCAATTAACTTTGGTGATTTAAACAAGTAATAATAGCCTGTCATTTCAAAGCCCTCATAGCTCGCTCTCTAGCTTAGGAGGTTCCATGTCGTGTCGGGTAGAGTTACCTCCTTTCCGTAGCTATAGCTATTCCCCTATAGATTACACGCAAAAGACAGCCGAATTTTGCATCATCATATCACATCCATCCATTGAGCCCAACTCACATGCGTGTGGTTTGTACATGTAGCAGTAGGCCGTGAAGTACTACTACTAGTCATGCTCATGTGATGATCCGATCGAATCATCCAATAATTAATTAAACAGAACAATTACAGATTAAGATATCACCTCTGGGCTCTGGCTCCTATTGAAATCTTCAACACAGTTTGGAAATTGGTCCTTTCTTGGCCTTATTTTACACACAGGCAGAGGGGATGATTTTTATTTTTTTTAAATGGGTGGTGGCAATGGACACAACCACCGTCTAATTCACATGCATGCACAGGTCAAGATATCCTTCCAAGGTTGGTCACCTCATCACATGGGTCCTGTCCTGCAGCACACCCCACTTGACGTGCATAATTTTTATTCTTCAGGTTACAAGTACTAGTGTACTAAGCTAGCTAGTACAAAGATCCTTAAGAAAAAAGAAATATAGGCTACATTTCATTCATGTCTTGTATATGTATGTACCTGTGCCTGTATAGACTCTCTCCGTCCCGAAAAAAATACAATTCTCACGTGTTGAGAAAAAGTTATCGCATAATAATACAAAAAAAAACATATATACCTTACTCTTTTTATTCTTGTATATGTTGATTTGACAAAAACAAATGATTCCACCTATAAACTTTATATTTTATTACATAATCTACATATCACAATTTTTTTAAACAATACATAACGGCTAGAATTACATTCTTTCCTAGACAGAGCAAGTCGTGATATAAAAACATTATGGGTTGCAGTACTGACTTGCTCTGCTGGGCTGGGGATAATAAATCATATGGAAATTGTGATGACATATGACCACATGTCATCACTGATGCATGCATATGGTAGGCCAAGAAATTTTGGATCATGCGGCAGCCGGCAGATGATTCAACAGTTCACTGGCTTATATCCCATCAGAGTCCGTGCCTGAACGACGACGGCCCTGAAGGCAGGCAGGTCGTTTGTCCAGGTGTGAGCCTGATCAGCATGAGTATCCTGGATTTCAGTTTGTTTAGTGAGGTCAATCCGTCGATCTGTTACATGAAACAGTTATTTTTTGTAAGGCAACAAAGAATAGGTAGAAGCAGGAGTCGTCCGTGTGTTTGGCCGGGATGCTTTGGATGCTCTGGCACACACAGAAAGTTAGGCCCTGAGCCACAAAATGAAAAAACAGAGGACGTCCTAATGTCCTATCCATCGATCTGCTCTGCCTGAACTGAAGATACATGGAACCTAAACAAAGGTATTAGGAGGCCGTGTTGTTCCTCTCAAATGCAGACGAAAAGCTTGATCATATCTGCTGTACATACACACACGGCACATATCAGCGAATTAGGTCAGGGTTTTTTGTATATGGAGTCCATGCCTAATTCGATGGCATGTGGAAATGGATGTGCAGCAGACAGCAGTAGTGAGCTAGCTAGTGCATCATGCGGCTGGGTGTCTGTGCCTGCCTTGGCAGTGTCATCGTAGATACACACACACATACACCTAGCTAGATAGCTAGTTGGGCAAGATCTGTGTGTCACTCACTATTGTTGTTTCTGACGCACCAACGAACAGTGCAGCAAGAGGGCCGGCAAGAGCGAAGGGATGGGAGCAAGAACACAAGAGAGGCCTCACTCACCCTTTGCCTGTTGATTGTAACCACTGACCTTCTCATTGGGGGTGTCCACTCACTCACGGAAGTGGCTCAAAAAAAAAGTGCTCCATCACTAGTCGTCGCCTAGTATGATCTATCCTTGTCAGCTACCAAGAATTATGAGCTCCACTTCCACTGCCTCGACCATCACGTCGTCGGTCGCACCTGAAATGATGAAGCAGGGGACTCTGTTCTTCCATTTCGTACGAGCCAATATATATGTAGTGCACGCATTTTTCGAGTCCACAAACCTTGCTGTTGCACTATTTTCAGTCTTCAAATTCAATGTTATTAGTATACTTCAGATTGTAACCGAGTTTTACATCATTTGACTTGTTATTAACCATAGAGATACGTAGACAGGCAGAAATCCTACAGGCAAGACAAGCCGTGCAGCAACTGAAATGTAGTAGTCGAGGATCAGAGGGCTGCACGTACGTGACTGATCCCATCACCACCTAACTGTAGAGGCTGAAATTTTGTGCAGCAAAAGCGATGCTATGTCCCTCTAGCCCTCACTCAGCATCGGCACCGACCGAAGACGACGTTTCAGACCAAGATTTTGGGGCCGGGTTTCTGCCTAACATAAAACCGGCGGCGACAGGGGCAGGGCTGTTGAACCCCCACTTAATCTCGTGGGAATCTCTCCCACACTCTACGTGTGTTTATCACAAACACTCTCTACTTCATCGTGGATGAACACACACAAGAATGATAAAAATAGACAACTTTGTTGATGCAAGCCACAAAACTCCCGTCGTTTTTCCATTCATTTATAGACTTAACAGGTACGTACATGGAAAGGATAACACCCGGCCAATTCCACTTAGCTGTAACTCGCGCCAT